ATATATATATAATATACATCCATGATGTCTCACAAAAATGTATGCACACAAACTTATATAATTGTATTAATTATTTTAATATTATAAAGAATGTGATGTATATTAATTAGTCAATAATTAATAATTATAATATAATTATAGTTAACCTTAAGAAAAAATCTTTTCTTATAATTTAGGATTAGTTAATCGGTGTATATGTCCTGTGGTAATGGCATTAACTACTTGTATACTAGAAATGAGAGATATAATGGTAAAATTATTACCTGAAGTCTTGTTGAATATGTCCAAACTTTCAGCTACCACACAAACTGCAGTACCKATTTTAGAATTTTTATCTAGTAAGTACAATTATTAAATAATATATTGCAATCCATTTATTTTGCATAACAGACATTTTTTTTATGCCTCTCCAGTGTTAAGTCGTCTTCCGAAAGTGTTCTCTAATTTTGTAGCAGATCAATATATGGCTGTATTTGCAATTACTTTGCCTTATACCAATCCATTTAAATACAATCATTACACTGTTTCATTAGCACATCGAGTGATTGCTATTTGGTTCCTGAAATGTCGAACATCATTTCGAAGAAATTTTGTAGAATTCATCCATAAAGTATTAAAAACAACTAACTTGATTTTTATCAATTACATTTATATTAAAAATATTATTATTATTATGCTTGATATATTTTAGGGCCTAAAACAAAATGTATTGGTGCCATTCGAAGGTCGCACAATTCCTAGGAGCAATATTGATAATGAAGATTCGTCTAGTAGAAAACGAAGTTCTAGTTTAACAGATCAAGTAATTTACTATTAATGTGTTGATGTTATTAGTATTAGTGTAATATTGTAATATAAAAACAATTTTTAATTTTTAGGGAAGTCGTAGACATGATCGAACAACAATGGGCATGAGTCGCAGTCCTATGAACGATTTGAAACCACCAATAGACAATATGCTTTTAACATTTCATAAAGAGTTAACTGAAACTTGTATGGATTTATTAGCCAGATATGCTTTTGCTACTTGTTCTGCCATTCCTAAAAGGTAAATGTCATATAAAAAATGTAATATAATATTTTTGTTGGAATAGATCCTAATATAATTATAATATATATTATATATATTTTTATATATTATTTTATTTTTAGACATCCCACAGCAGATTTTATATTGGATGGAGGTCAAACTGCTACTTGGTTGATAGGAATAAAACTTGTAACCATCACAACAAGTGGATGCACTCAAAAACCAGATAAAAATGGTTTATGTAGTAAATGTTATCAATCTTGTCGCTTAAGTAGTGATCAGGTCAGAATGTCTCCTAAACCAGATGAGAAGTCAAAACTTTCAGTATCTCGTAGTCAAAGTAGTGAAACTAGTGATCAACTTGATGTCAACACATCTATCAAAGGAGTTTCATCACCATCATGTTTATCTACATCTACTAATTCTCCTGGAGAAGAAACAAAAAAGTTTCCTCATATTGAATCAAATGAACCATTTGATATGTCCCGAAATAATAGTTTTTCTAGCTCAGATCGAATTGATAAAAAACAAAGTTGTTCTTGTTGGTGTCAATCTTGGGCTGAAATACGTGTACGGTGTCCAACAGGTAAATATATTAAGATTATGATCTTTGTTATGTTGATTGGCTCTAACTTTATTTATTTCAGGAGTAATGTCTTGGATGATTAGAGTGCAAAATGATAGAAATTTTCAGGACATGAATTCTGATTCATCCATGTTTGATGTCTCGACATTATTTCATCCCAGTCTTGGTTTAAAAGTTTCTAATGGAGAAATAGATAAAATACGTCAATACTTAGATGGAGAAGTAAATATTTTAATATTTACTGTCTAAATGATTTTTGTGTAATTAAATATATTTTTTAGAAACGTGTTTTGGATCAATATATGGTTAATGATGAAAAAATTAAGATGGAAGCAAATGAAAAGTTACAGAATAGAGTACCTTCTGAACCAGTATGCATCCCTGGTTCTCCTCTCAAACTTATTCCTTCACGACAGAACTCTCAGGAGAGCTGTGAAATTGAAGATGAATATTATGATGGTAATATTCATTAAAGCTTATAAAATATATTAATATAATATACTAGTTGATCCCTGTGAACTTTGTTGACTGTTAAAAATACCAACTCTATATGATTCAAAATTTTTGTTTAATTCGTTGTTTAATACCTGGCTAGTCATGTTCATAACTTTCCGTGAATGACCAAACTGATGTTGATTCAGGAATTTTAGGTATAACTACTTTTCCGCCACTACAACATAGTCCATGAGCTTCAGCCTTCCATTTCTTTGCTTGGAATTTGTTGTATATTTTATCTATTCTACTAATATCAAYATCATTTAGCACAGAATAGTGAAGGTTAAAGTCATAAGCAAAGGTAGAATTTAAGAAATTATATGGTCTACAAGTTCTATTCATTATTGATCGTGTATTTAGCTGAATGGCGGTAATGTTCAACGCTTGATTCCCTAGCTTGATTTTGTTCAATGATTATTCGTTGAGTAGCCAATCTAAGCATATTTTCATCTTCTGTTTCATTTCTGTGCAAACGTTGCAGACGTTTTGCTATAACAGACTACCGAGAAAGCTGAGTTATTTTTCTAAGTATAATACAAACGTTGAAAGAACTATCAAAACAATACCCAATAGAAAATTACTATAAGGAAAATAATGTGCTGTTTAAATCAAATTGAGTGTAGAAAACAACTTAAATAAAAACAATAATACAAATGCGAATACTTTATATTAATATTATTTTGTTGCCTAGTTATTTTAAAACTATGAAATTTTTTATTCTTCGATTATTGACTGGGGTATAGTTTTTAAAATTTTTAGTTTTGAAAACAGTCCAAAAAAATTTAATTAAAAATCAATATCAATGAATATCTAAAGCTATGTATCACTTAATTTGTTTTTTTCTCTATCAATTTAAATTTGTTTAAATACAATGAAAATTAAATATTAAATATTAGTTAGACAAACAAAATGTTATTATAAGACTAAGAATTTATGATGTGATTATGTTTCTAACAAATTTAAATCAACAATATATATTTAATAAAATAGGATCTTGTTTTAAAGTCTAAGTTTAATAATTAATAAACACCTATATTTCATTCCACAAGAGAAAGTATATGTTTTTTTAAAATCGACTGATACCACTGATAGCACAGAAGCTAAATTTCTCTCATTCTTCACCAATTGGTGACAACCGCCTGACGTACTGCTGAACATTTGATGATTTGTAACCAAACGGGTGAGAGTGGTTGAAAGTGTGCACCAACTGACGAATAAAATGACTTAGTCAAGATTATTAAATAGAGTGGGGGGAGGGGGTTAAGTATAAATTAAACCAACTTTTCTACAGTTTTCATGTGCAAATTATTAGGGAAAAAAATGTCAATGGGGAAAGTGGTTATACGCCCAAAACCATTGCTGGCTACACTTCTGAGTTTACCTTTTCTTCTCAAACAGAGTTTAAAGAAATTTGTGTTTATATCCTTAAACTGTTTATTTTAATTAGTTGAAGACTCTGAAAGTGGAGAAAATCGCTTAAGAAATCCAGTCCGTAGATCAAACTCCAGTCCTGAAATGAGTTCTGGATGGAAAAATCCTTTTATGAAAGAATTGCATGACTTAGGAGATGATAGTATGGACAATGAAGATATTAATAAACACTTAGAATTATTTAATACTCCTATTGATTCAAAAAAGATAAAACAGAATTACACCAAGGATTTACGTTATAGTTCTAAGTAAGTATTAGTTTCAAAAATTATTTCTTATTTTCTTATAAGTTATTTTATTTAAAATTATTTATTATAGAGCAAATTGTGAAGCAATACCTGAAGAAATTTGTGGTACTGGTTCCACACCACCATCAAATAATTGTCAGTTAAAAAATTTAACACTCAATTTGATCACAGATTCAGCAGAAAAAAATACTGACTTTTTAACTCATGCTAAAAATAACGATGAAAAAGAAAGACCAAAATTGCAATTAAAAACTTCTAAGTTAAATTCCTTTAATGACAGTGACTCTTCTGAAAAATCATCTGCTGAAAGTGTTGATATCAAACAAAATACAGAATTTCCATTAGTTAGTCATTACCACGAGGAAAAAAGTAGATCTTTAGCGTCAACACCATCTTATCTTTCTAAAAAACCACCCCTATCACCGCCAATTAATTATGGATCTCAGACATTGGAAAAAAATGTAAGAATCATCAGTACTTATAATAGCAAATTTATACACTCATAATTATATGTTTACATATAATTACATTCATGAGTTGGTATTATAATATAATGAAATAAATATCTTTTAATTATTTAGGAAAATGATGCAGATGAACCTATTATGTTCCGAACTCGTCTACACACATTAGCTGTGATGAATACTGTTAAGAAACCAACAATAGTATCTTCAAATCCCAATTCACTTTACACGAACAGTAGGGCAAATCAATCTAAAGAGCCTGTGCGTTCAGGAATTAATMCGAGGTAATTATTTTTTGGAACTATCTAGGCTAAATATAAATATTTTTGAATGCATTTTTTCTTTTAGCTTTGTTTTCCTTCAATTGTACCATTCTTCTCATTTTACTTTTGTTGATAATGATGCAAAACCAATATTATTACCATTGTCTCAGACCATGATTGAAAAGGCTGTAAAAAATTTGGATCGTATACCTCCATATGAAGTGCATAAGGTTTGTATTAGCTATTTTTACTGTCATAATATACTAGTTAACTCTGTCTGGTATTTAGATTGGAGTTATCTATGTTGGGTTGGGACAAGCCAACTCTGAAGTAGATATACTGAGAAACCAGCATGGGTCTTTGAGATACACAGAATTTCTAAAATGTTTGGGTTCCCTTATAAAACTATCCGATACAGATTCACACAGCATATTTTTAGGCGGGTTAGAAACAGATGGTAATGATGGAAAATTTACTTATATATGGCAAGATGACATTATGCAAGTTAGTAGAATATAAGATTTATTTTTTTATATTTAATTACTCTTTTCATAGAGCTTACATATTATATCTTTTATTAACTAGCTGTATTCAAATTATTTCTGAATTAAACTTGATATGTTTCTTTTTAATTTTATAATTTTTTTTCTGTTTTTTGTTAAGGTTATATTTCATGTGGCTACTTTAATGCCAACAACTGAATCTGATCCTAAATGTAATAATAAAAAGAAAAATATTGGAAATGATTTTGTTACAATTGTTTACAATGAAAGCGGTCAAGAGTACGATATTCAAACAGTTAAAGTAATTACACTTTTTTTTAATAAAAATATGCTTATTTTTAATATAATGTTATAAAACATTTTTTGTTTATAGGGTCAATTTAATTATGGTTGTGTAATTGTAAAACCTTTAGAGCATGGTGTAAATCAGATCACAGTGAAAGTGAGAAATGGGTTGCGCGAGCATGTTGGTCATCAAGAACCAAAAATTGTCTCTGATCAAAATGCTGCTATGTTGGCTAGACAGTTGGCTATTCACACAGATGTATGTCTTATTTTTATAATAGTATAATTTTAGTGTTAATATTAGGAACTCATAAATTGTTCAATAATTAAATTGTATTCTTACCAATACTAAGTTCTAAATTCTAAGTGTTGTGGAGGATATGTCTTGTTTTTACAATTTTTTTTTTTATTCTAATAAATTTACTAACCTGACATAACTATATAATCAATTAGTCTGGCGGGTTGGTTATATTTTTGATCATGGAAATACAAGTCTAAGCAAGCCACATTTAAGGTTTTATTATTAAAAAGATTGAAGTATTGTAAAACATATTTTATGCCTTTATAATACCAAATCTTGATTGTAAACTATCTGTAGTATTTTTGTTAAATTTTTAAGTTTTAAGTTAATGCATATAAAGAATTTTAAACATTTAAAAAATGACCTAATGATAAATCCTTTAAATCTAATTATATTTTTGATATTTTTATAAACTTTTTCTCCATGCTTTCAATAACTTAATCCATGATAATAGGTACTGTTTATTGCTACATTAATTTTTTCAATAAATTGATGATTGCATAAATGTATAAATTTTGGTTATTTTTATAGATTTGAAGTTAGATACATGTTATACACATTATACATACTATTATTGTAGTTGTTTTGAAAATGTCATTTTATAAAAAAAAAGAAAATTTCCTATAAAATAAAAGTGACTATTGTGAAAATACAAACATATTTGAGAATGTTTTAGATTTATTGATAGCCTTCTTAGCCCTGTCTTATAGGACTTTAAGATTTTTATAACTGAATTATAATAATTTTTACTATTTTGTTTTTATTTAGTTGGCGTCACAGATATTGAGCAGTCTGAGCAAAGAAAATAGTGGGCCATATGCTAGTAATTGGCTAGAGCGACTCAGAACGATCAAAAGAATACAGAGCAAGGTGATGAAAGTAGACAGCAACGGTCAGCCAATAAGTGGTGAGCCAATATCAGTAGTGCGTGGACAAGGGATACAGGGGGGTCAAGGTGCTGCAATGGCTGGTGGTGGCCGTTTAAAGATGCAAATGTGCGATTTCACGGAATACACATAAACAGAAGTACATCATGCGATTACAACTGCAGACAAATTATATTTTCAGCATCTCTAAAAGGCTATTATACTCAWACACACATTAGTGATCTCATTTTGGGTTACGCATTGGAAAAAAATTGTTGTAAAGTGGTTTATTATTGTGCTCATAGTATAATATTATAACATTTTACAGCAAAAAACAAAAAAAAAAACTATTATGTAATACCTGAATGTGAATTCATTGTGAATTTTTTTTGCTTTTTTTTTAATGTTAATACACAAGATTATTGTAAATTTTTTCTATAAAAATCTATATTTCCCTTATACCATGMAGTTTCATTAGACAGTTATAAACATGAGTTTTTAGACTTATTAACCTTAGCCTTAATTACAAAAAAATTTTAAAGTTCCACTCAAAATTTGTTTTATTTACGTATTATATGATTATTAGGTACTATAAATTCTTAAAAATTATATAGGTACCTAATTCAATAAAATATACACTTAAAAATACTCAATTTTAATTTTCATAAATGAAAATTGTATCTATACTATTTAAGAATCTGAGAGATGAATATTGTATAAGTTTTACAATGATGTTTTTTTTTCAAATTACAGTAGAGCCTCGATAGTTCGGTGGACGCGGTAATCCGGATGGCTAAATTCCATTTTGTTCGTAAATTAATTTTACGAGAATTCCYGCAACGCAATTAATCTATAAAATATTGTTATTGACAAATACAATTTCGTCATTTTTATTACCTACTGTTCCTAGTAAAGACTAATACATGTACCTATGTGGGTACATAATAATAGTGAAATTAAAAATAAAATYTTAGTAATTATTTGAGTATAGGTAATTTTGAAAAACCTCCRGTAATCCGGAAAAATCGATAATCCGGACAATGCTCGGTCTGAATTTGTCCGGACTATCGAGGCTCCACTGTAATAATAAAATAATATTGGTAGTATTATAGAGATTGATTTCATTACTAATGAACTAATAAAGTTGAAACATATTTATTAGTATTTGGTCTGCAACTGTGCCTGGACCTGATGAATACACTTCATTTGCCTACGGTTGTCGTGCGGCATGTTCTCTCGCTTAACTGAGTATAGRCATGAGATATTGAATAGTGATTGAATGAATTGGTATGGGATATAGATTTTGAATACAATTTTGGATTCTTTATTCACTATTGTCTTGTATTTTTTGATCCTACCTTCTAATAACTTTTAAATGTATGACTACTTTCACTTATCAAAATTTGATTGGACATTTATTTTTATAAAAATTTTTGTTTAATATTCAATAATTTTTATCATGCCTTTTTAGATAAAAAAAATTGAAACGTTTTTGTAGAATATAAAGTTCCAACCTAAACATATTATTATTAACAGATGTTCTATTGTTCCAATTTTGTTTCAATATTAAAATTTAATTTCCATAAAATGTTTAGTTTTAAAAACTAAGGACTGAAAATTGAATTTGAGATTCCTSATAATTCGAYCTTATTGTAGTTAAATAAGAATTTTGACGTTAAGCCTCTATATGCTCATCACATTAATTAAAGGTTAGGAATTGTATGTATACTCATAGATACAGGCATCATGTCAAAGATGGTAATTGTCAACTATAGTCATCCCTATACTATACATATATACTATACTATACTATACTATACTATACATTTAAGATGTAACCAAAAGTTTATGTTTTGTAAGAACCGTGGTAGGTATACATTTTAATTTCTGGTTGTGCAGGGGATACGCGCCCGGCGGTCGGCACTTTTGGGGATTTCTTCTTTTCCGCCCGGCACTTTTGGGGATTTCCTCTTTTCCGCCCGGCACTTTTGGAGATTTCCTCTTTTCCGCCCGGCACTTTGGGGATTTCCACTTTACCGCCCGCTGGACGGAAAAAGGACGCTTTCGAACGCTTCAACCGTTGTCGAAAACCAAACTTTCTGTGCAGGCGTGACAAAAAATAAGTATTTCATGAATGAAAATTTCATTCTCGTTTTAAATTATAGCAGCGGATTGACCAGACATGAGACATGCGGGTGTAAGGGGATAAATCTCCCATGACCTTTTTTTCAATATTTATTTATTAAACAATTTCATGGAACAGTCCTTTAACTGGCTTTAACACTGATACATAAAATAAATATAGAACAAACTATATAGGTAAATATAGTTTATACAAATAAAGACCGATTATATATTAAATGGTTTTAATTAGAAAATATAAACAATGATTTTGTTCTAATACATTCACGAGACAAAAAAAATCTACGTCATAACAAATTAGGTTACATAGCGTACCTAAGCATTCTCGAGAAGAAAGAATTTAAGAATCCATGCACATTTGTACAATAGGGTGTTTCTTAAAGAACGCAGTTTTCGAAATCCTAACTAATTTATTATTGTTAGGAAGTTGGCACTGTTCTTATAATTTCTGTTATTTGTGGTTGTTTAGGATTCTAGTGAGTAATCAATTTATTGTGTATTTTGTTTATTTGTCGTCACGGAGTATACAATCGAGTAACGAACAAAAATGTTTTATTTATTAAAATCCATTATATATACATGGCGAGTGTGTTGCTGAAACTGTTAGGAAATTTCGTACAATACTSAAACATCACAATACTTACCTATTTAATTTAAATAATTTTTTTAATCAAATAGTGCATATATTTAAAAACCACATCAGCTCCTAAACTTCAATGACAAAATCATTTGACCGCCACTGCAGGATATCATAGTCCATAGATCACAGTTTTTAAATATGTGTTTAATATGTGTTGAAAATAACCTTACATCTTATCGTTTACAATCCAGGAAATACGAATTAGGTATTAAAATATTACAGCAGCCACTCAATTATTTGAACTTCGATGGTTCGAAAAACTCAATGAATCGAACTAAACGCTTAGCCCTCTGAGAAAATCTCTATAATTCGAAGAAAATACATGTAATATTTCGGACTTCTCGATAATTCRAAATTCCTGTCGGCAGGGCACACTCCACAATTAGAACAATTCGAATTTCCTTAAAGGAACCTGATTATATTATGTAATTTTAATATGTATAAAGATTACGTACAATCGATTTGATGTACTCGCAATGAAACTAAAAACGACGGCTATTAAAATATATTATCGTAATTTACCTACCTAATCAAGACTTTAATCGTACCATTTTACCAATTTAAACCTCTGCAATGGGTTGTTGAAATCGAATAAAACGTATTCAGTCGAAATATGGGTTCTGTAAAGTATAAGTGTTTGTCGACCGCTGACAAAAAAGGTGATTCGGCAGTTGAAGGCTTCACCACACAATTGTTCACCTCTCTTTAATTCGAATTCATTTCTTTTCCCCCGAGATTATTCCAACACTCGGTAAATCGAAAACCTCTATAAATCAAATAATTAATGAATAATTTTTAGCCCGGTCCCCTGAAGCTCGAATTATCATCGAGTGACTACTGTATATTGGTATACACTGTAATTTATTCAGCGTTAATAGTAGGTAGATRCCTACTAATAGTGCTGGGTAGGGATGAAGCTGAATTTCGGATCCGAGGAAAGGGGGATCGTTAYAAGTGGCCTCGAAAATAAACTGATTTAATAGAACATAATTTACTATTCACGAACATCCCCGGGGGCATCATTACAACTTTTTGTAGACCAAGTAATTGGTATCTACATATAGTTTTTGGCTGTTAGTACAAATATAATTTGTAAGAGGTAAAACGTAAGTAATAAGTAGGTACCTATATAAATTGTTGGTATTTAAATTCTAAATTCTATTCATTTTGTATTGAGAAAATTTGTTATGGTGTTTTAGAGTTATATCA